CCGTCTGTCCGTCTGCTAGGCACCGGCGGATTATGCCGGCATAATTATTGGCATAATTAGGTGGTTGAAAATTTGGAGCATAATTTGGCATCCTCATATCAAGTGAGTTATTGTTGATGATCGATCTTGATGGAAGGAGAGGTGGAGCTATGAGAGAGATGAGCTGATTATTCGCAGGGTGAGGTTGACATCGGTTGGACAAGTATGACGATTACGAAGACAGTCAGTTGAACATGATAATTTTGAAAGGTAACTCACACAAAATTTAGCAATGAAAAATATTTTTACAAAAGAAGTTGTAGTGAATAGAAGATGCCATGTTTTCTCTTTTCTTTGTTGATCTCTAGCATGCATGGACACCTTGGTATGGGGATACTCATGTATTTTGTTGTACTTATGGCCACTTGCAAGTACATGTACGAAAAACGCACAATTTTCCAAACTTTGAGGCTCCATAAGTACAAACAAGTGAGTGTGTATCCCCGCGTGCCAAAGCATAATATGAGGATTTTGCGAGCATAATGCTAGAATCCATGAAAGCATAATTCCATGATTTCGCGAGCATAATCCGCTGGAGCCCTCTGCCCGCCCGCCCGCCAGCTCGTTTGACTGTCTGGCTGTCCATACATGTACCTGTGTGCCAGTGTGGTGCGACTGCATGCGTTTACCAGCAATCCGTTCACGTAATAATTGCATTTCCTGGCATCTTCATTCGGCCGGTGTTGACCAGCAGGACACATGGCTCTGGCATGTACAGTCCATTCATTGGAAACTGGCACCCTAAATTTTTGGTGTCTCTGTCATATAGTTGTACTTCAAAGTAGATATCGTGAAAACAACAGTACATCCTGCATTGTGTGACCCGTGCAATTACATGTACTCCTAGCCACATTTGACGCCAGAAAAGTCCAAGAACAGGGAAACAGAAATTCAGCCAGGTTTTACAAAATTACGACAGGTATGCCATGGCAAAATGTATGGAGAAGCAGATCCAAAACCCAGATTTTTGAGATTTAAAGTGGGTTTTTGATCCTCAATTCGGCCCAAATCCGACTTTCAAAAGCCAGCGGGCCAGTTTCCGATGAATGGACTGTAGGCCCGCACACATGCTATACGTGAACCCAAAGGCTACTGCCTACGACTGGCAGCTAGCTCAGACTAAGCCTCAGAATACGTTGCTCTGATTTTCTGTTTGGCCCTGCGCAAATGAATGTTTCAACTCACATCGACTTCGAGCATTTCATATTCCTTGATGTTGCCGTAGTTGGAATAGATCTTTAGCTTCATAAGGATGTCTTAGCCACCTAGCCCTTTTGTTTAGCAATGTTTACTCTCTGTGATCGGATTGTCTTCATCTCCATGTCGTGCTGACTCCATTTCATTGTTTTTGCGCTGGTCCAAATTTCTTTTTTTTCTCTCTTTTTCGTCCCTCGACTTCTTCGCTTTATATCATTATTTTGTCAACTGGTTCGAGCGCGATCTGGCCAGCAGCGAGCAGGAAGTCAGGACATTCAAAGTCGATGAGGCAGGCAGTCAAAAGCGTAATTTTGGCTATAGCTTTTGACACAGTGGCAAGTTTTCAGCCGATTGGTGATTTGGACGATGGAGCCCGCAGCGAAGAGAAAAAGAACTCACGCTTTCCAAGACTCTTGGAAGAAAGGTCGACCCTGGCTGGACTACGACCATGCCAGTCTACTAGTATCCATGTTACGGATGGACACCGGCCAGGGTACCGTTACACTGCTCTTGCGGCCAAGAGGCAACTGTCGCGCATTCCCTGTCGTGCCCCTATGGAGGGTTTCCCTCCATTAGACACAATGATATTCGGGACGTCACGGCCCGGCTGCTGGACGAGGTGTGCACCAGTGTGTCCATCGAGCCCTTGCTGCAACCGCTGACGGGGGAGCGTCTTCGCTACCGGACCGCAAATGGGGAAGACCGAGCCCGGTTGGATGTCGCTGCCAATGGTTTGTGGGGCAGTCGTTTTGAGCGTACACTTATTGATATACGGGTTTTTAATCCTCACTCACGCTCAAATCGATCTGCACCACATACTATTGTGTATCAGCGACATGAAAAAGAAAAGAGAAGGCACTATGAGGAGCGGGTGAGGTAGGTTGAGCAAGCCTCCTTTGTTCCGGCGGTCATGTCAGCCAGTGGCGGAATGGGTCCAGCATCAACAGCACTGTATAAACGAATTGCTCATCTGTTGGCTGAGAAGAGGGGTGAGCATTACTCTCATGTTATGGCATTTGTTAGATGCAGGATTTCCTTCAGCCTTCTGAAATCCTGTATCATGTGCATTCGCAGTTGTAGGCGTTTAAATTTTGGTTTGAAATTTGCACCCTCCTGCGGAGCCCACGCTGCTTTGGCAGTGGCGGAGGCTCGCTTGCCGACGTAACCGTCGGAGATCATCATGAACAATGGACTGACTAATTATTCACTTGTCCTGTCTTTCTAAATAACATGTTATTGCACATGTTAAAAATAAATAAAAATAAACTAGTATCCATGTCATGCGCTTTGTGCAAGACGCATTTCCAAAGGAAGACGAGCGGCGGTGGATTTGGTCGCGAGGAAGCAGCCACTCCACAAGGTGCTGCAGGCACCCCCCGGTGCTCTAATATGTGAACATGTTGGTCCTCCTAGGCTGCTACTACTTAGTGCTAGTACTAGCGCTAATTAGTAATTAGAAAACAGAATTCCTTTTTTCAAATTGTTAAATCAGAATCCAATGGAACTGCTTTGCATTCTTCACGTAATGTCGTTTACCTTCTACGTTTGCGGACTTTGATCGTTCGCCTTGTTCTCTAAAATGTCCGATTTCCGGCACTAAATTCGCCTTTCTGTTTTCCTGCGTTTTGAGCAGGCCTTTTGGTTGTTTTTCTGCCGGATAATCTGACCCGGCTGGCCTGCATGCGCCAGGTACACTCTGACCGGGCTGTGTTGAATGTCTAGAGCAGGCCCTGGTACACGTGGCTGCTTTTCATGCTTTTTCCAGCGTGTACGCATCATTTCATGCACAGTCATGTGCCATGTGTCAGTCATACATGCAAATCGGCTATAGTGATGCACCGGATATAGTGATAAATTATCGAAAATCAAAGGGGCACGTTATATCCACTATTTACTGTATTCAAATAGGGCTTTCAAACGCAAGATCATAACGTGAAGCAACTTTGAAGAATGGGTATGAATGCGAAGTGTATGGGGGAATGCATGTAGGGCGATAGTGCGGGTTCGAATCCCAGGATATGCCTGAAAAAAAAAATAGGAGAATTGAGAAATTTATAACATCCCTATGCTTTTTTTGCCGTCATCAAGGCGGTAGACGGTGTCGTATTACCCTCGATCGTACCTGTCCAGTACCTATCCCGTACCGTACCGTACCATCAAAGACGGCTGGCAACAATGCATATTCAAATAGGGCTTTCAAATGCAAGATCATAACGTGAAGCAACTTGGAAGAATTAGTATGTATGCGAAGTGTATCGGGGGATGCATGCAGCGCGCGCGATAGTGCGGGTTCGAATCCCAGGTCATGTCTTAAAAAAAGGAATTTTTTTAAGAATTTCCCTATGATGTTTTTTGTCTAGGTCATCAAGGCAAAAAAGCATAGTGTAGGGCCCTGAGCTTCCAAGCTCTAGGATGACCCGAAGGCAAATCGCCTATCGAGAGGTTCACCGCGTCACAAGTGAATGGTTGTGATATGACAAAGCAAAGAGACAACCAGTTGCGTGTGTGTGTGGGGGGGGGGGGGAGTTTCGAACCATGCACAGTGAAGGGATAACTGTATGTACATGACCAAGGATAGGGTATGCGTTTCAAGCCATAATTTTCAAATCCCACAACGCTCAATGGCAAGTGTTTTTCTTAAGCATTTCAGAGTTTTCAACAAGTTGGCAACGACTTTGTAGGTGTAGCTTCTGTGACATGCCCTGTTCGACTTGCAACTGCAATACTGCGACCAGTCAAGTCGTTGAATGACGCTTCGTCAGAACAATCACTGTTCCGTTCTGAAAGCGTGACATCGTGGCACTGCAGAAATTTCATGAAAATCAGATGGATCCTACGGCATTACCACATGGAGAGTGAACTACCACAAAGACGACTCATTTATCGAATGAAAGGAAATCTCGACAGAAGTTTTTCTTTGCACCAATTATTATTATTATTATTCTCAATTCATGGATGACATGGTGTCAAGTTCTGTCAACCAATATTATGAATGAGGGCTACCAGCCATGGAATAAAAGAACAAGAAGGCAAAAATGCACACGCAAAATATGGCAAGTTAAATGAAAATGAAAATGGAATAAAAGTAAATCAATCCCAAACCAAAATCAATTATAAAAATCAATCCAAAACCCAAATGAATTGTACAGGTAGCATATGTGATTTACTTTGGAGCTTGAAGTAATACACAAAGAGAATGAAAATCAATGATTAGCAAATGAAGATCGACGTACGTGTATATTTATCAAGCTTAAAACGCATTGAGGGTGTTGCTGGACTTTAATTGCTGAGGAAGAGAATCCCATAATTGGTATGCTAGGAATACAGGCGATTTGCTCATGGAATGGTTTCTTGCAATCGGGAAACGAAGCGAGTTCCGGCTTGTTGAGGATTCATTGAACCAGTTTAAGGAATGCTGCACATGCTGAGGGGCAGTGATAAGTTTGATTTTGTGAATGTATACGCAGGAGGATCGGTCAATGTAATGTTTCAGAGGAAATGTACAGCAATTTTCAAAGAGAACGGCTATGTTGGTCTCGGGCGGCAAACGAAGTATTGCCCGGAGAATCCGTCGATGCACAATCTCCAGCTTTGCAAAGAGGCCATTACCAGCGCCACACCACACCACACAGCAATACAAGAAAATAGGCAAAACGTATGTATGATAAAAGGTCTTTCGGCATTCTTGTGAAATGTAGGGGAGATGGCCATAAAGAATACCGACGACTGAGCTTGCCCGCTTTTCCAGATTCTGGAAATGGTGGGAACAGTCCAATTTGCTATCAAGTGTAACGCCAAGGTGCTTGTGACGAGAGGTTATACATGTAGGTATCGGGGTAGGATCATCGGGGAAATGGAAAAT